ACGCGTGATTTCATTGCTCTCTAGCTCTCTACATTCTAAAGCTTTTCAGCTCGCAACCAAGTATACTAACTTAAGCATCGGAGCAACTTTGCCGGGTAAGCAACCCCGGGTTCTCTGATTCATCATTTGCAAATCAATCTAATCCGCCATTTATTAGAAGCCAGATCACCTCTAACAGAGAACAGTCAAATCGCACTTCATCATACACGAAAAGACATACATCTACCAAGCTAGCTTCAAACTGCTCACATCTTCATTCAAAAGTTCAATACATCTTTTAACTATAAAGTTACCAAAAAATCTTCCAAAAAACACATTCCCATGTGCAATGACCGTGAGGCAAAGACTCCCTTTCATTAACCTTTCGTCTAAAAAGACCGTTATAATATTTTTAATCCCTATATAAAAGAAAAACACTGTTCATCTTCCCCTTTCCCTTTCCTCCCCTTCCTCTCCCTCTGCTTTCCGTTCCGAAGTCCCAACACTATGTAAATGTAATCCCGTTTTGTTTTTCTGATGAGATCGACTGTCAGTTTCGATTTGGATGACTCGTTCTTCGAAAAAAAAGTTAACGTTTCGATGGCTTTTCTTGTCCGACCATGATGAGCTAGGGTTTGACGAATTAGAGAGAGTACCGACGATGCAACCGTCACCGGTGGACGGTGGTAGCTCGTGACAGGGGAGAAAAGAGGCCGGGAGACACAACGAGAGAAAGAAAGAAGGGGTTTTAACCGTTCAATACACCCCGTTAACTTTTAAATCATCTGAGCTCTCCACCTCCCTCCCTCCTCAATAAGGCAATTTCTTTCCATCGGGCCCGGTGAAGCTACATCAACTGGTTGTACTAACGGCTGTAGCCGTTGGTGTGGAGTGTGGGTATTGATGGGACGCGTTTCCCTCAACACGAGGAGGAGGGACGACGGACGACTGACGACGGGTTTTTGAGTAAACATGGATGGGACGGAATTTCTGACTGTACACAACGTTAATATCACCGAATCGTCCAGATATCTCTCGATTTTAGGTTACGGCTTTACATTTTATTATGGTTTGTAATACTTCAAACAATTATAGTACCAAATACTTCCGTGTTCACTGTAACTTGGTCTGTGCAGAGTTCATCAATGCGACTTTTTGTCCCGGAAGAAATTTTCTCCTACTTTTTTTTATTTCGATTTCTTCAAAAACAAATGAATAAATGAATGAAAGGGAAACATCCCATGTGAACTCCTTATGTTTGATGTGACAATTCCAAGCCCAACAGCTGCTGCCTCTATTTTGCGTGTAAAACAACGATTACAAGTTTGGTTTGGACTTGGAGAGTTATGGATTCGCTGCTCATCATGCTCGAACAAGAGAAGCCACCTAACGTCAACAATTTTTTTTCGAAGAACGAGTCATCCAAATCAAAATTGATTGCCGATTTCATCAGAAAAACAAAACGGATTACAATAAACAGACGACTTGTAGCTGCTGGTGTTGGGACTTTGGAACGGAAAACAGGAGAGGAAGGGGAAGAAAAGGGAAGAGGAAGAAGAGAGATCGGGGGAGAGAGAGAGAGGGAGGAGTCGAGGATTTCGGAAGTCCGCCTCCACTGTAACGTAATAGCTACTTGCTGTTCCTGTTTGTGTATCAAGATGTTGGAGAAGATGAATAGTAATTTTCTTTTATAAGGATAATATGGGGATTAAAATATATTGTAACAGTTTTTTTAGATGAAAGGTTAATTGAAGGAGGTCTTTGTCGCAAAACAAAGTACAAGGGTCTTGGGGGGGTTTGTAATTTATCTTTATTATTATTATTATTAGGTACTGGATTGTTATGTTTTGAAAGTTCGAATATTAAATTATCATATTTTAAAATTTAGAGACTAAAGTTGCACCAGGCCCAAAATACAAGGTACTAATTGAGAATTTTTCTTTATTATTATTATTATTATTATTATTATTATTATTATTATACTTTTAAGCTTTACCATGCATAAAAAAACAATAGTAAAATTTTCAGCATCCAAAACTTGTTGGAATAGTTTTTAATCCAATCCTCTATATTAAGAATGAACTTCATTTATCTTACCGATTCGTAGAGCTTTGCATTTCTGGCTCTACATTTGTCGAAACCACAGAAATCTCAATTTTGGCTGGTGCTATGATCGATCTCCAATTGACCATGGTCTCGTACTTGTTCTATGACAAGTACAGACACAAAATGGCTCTCTTGGGGTAAATTCATGGATATAATTATTGCTGAAATCTAGACCTGCGATGGATTGTGTCTGGTCTGGGTTAGGGGAATCGGAAATGAGTAGGCAATTTGGAAAACTAACAAGCCATTGAATTTGTATTTTGATAATAAATATTTAAGGGGTGTTCGATAATATGGTTGGTTTTATTTTTGAAAATAAAAAACACGATAACATCATCAAAATCATATTGTTTTTCGGGTGTTTAGGAAATTGGACTAGATTGGTCAGTAGGACCATTAGAGACATGACTTGGGCCTATATTCGGTTTGATCATACTTTAGAAACCAGAATAGGTATAAAAATCACCAAAAAGCAGTTGAATAGCTGGTTTAATTGGTGAACCAGTCCTGGTTTCTGTGAGCCACTTGGGTCTCATATATATATGTCGAATTTTCAAAATGCAAATGGCAAATATTTAATATACATATTGTCTTTTTTTTTTATATCATTAATCAACTTAATTATTTATGCTCACTAATGAATCTTTAATGTACATACTACATCAGTAAAAGTGTCAATGGACCAGTTTTGGGTTGGACTCCATCTAGTTTAAAATCAATTTGGATGAATTGAATGGACCAACAAGACATATTGGATTGGACCTGGTCCATCCGTAATAAATTTATATTGGATTGGATTGACAGCCCTAACATCAGTACACATGTATGCTAAATAAAATGTGAATTAGGACTTTTGAACCCTGGTCTATTACTTTAAAAATTAAAAAAAAAAGAAAAGAAAAGAAAACTAGCTATTTGCTCACCACACTCAATTGGTTTGACCACATTTGATTGGTGGTTGCTGGCTCACCGTTACAAATTAGGATCACAGTCGGTGTCTTTGAGTTCTTGACCTGATCTCAGAGAGAAATGAAGAAGAAACTCTACACTAAAGAGTAAAGTCATTTGTCTTTGTTGAAACAAATCTTAGAGTTAGAACGAAAACATTAATTCTTAATTCTTTTCAATGTAAATTATTTTTATTCACAACCCGCTAACCACTGCTTGGGTTGAATGGATCAACAGTTTGACTGCCTAGGTCAATGGTTATCTAACTGTTTCAACAGTTTTTCTTAAAAGAGTAGGTAGAGGTTGAAATAGAACCGGCACTTTGGCCAGTTCATGAGCGTCTGACCATCTGGTCAACGACAGTTTAAAACCTTCAATTTTTTTTGAAACATGATCTAGGGGTTCTCATGGTTTGGTTAACCAAACCGAGGGTATTTTTTTGTAACTGAACCGGTACTACTGATTTTTGGAAAACCGGTAACTAAAACTGAACCGAAGTCAATTGGTTAACTGGTTGATCGGTTCGGTTCGTCAGTTTTTGAGTTTTTTTAATTTTTACAATATATATAATAAAAAATTACAAATATATATAAAATATTATATTTTAAATAATAAATAATATATGATATATTATAAATATATATATATACATAGTTATATATAATGTATATTTATTAATTTATAATATATAAAAATATAAAATATATATAAAATATATAAAAATATGTGTATTGGCCGGTTTGATTAACTGCCGGTTTTCTATATTGATTAACCAAAACCGAACTAGTACCTTCAGTTTTTTTAAAACATTGAACCAAAACCGAATCAACTGATTCGATTAGTATTAATTGTGTTACAACTTGCGTGTAAACACACATTTACTATTTTTTTTTTTTTATCCTACTGATATTACAATTAGGATCTCCTACCCACGTCTACCCACCATTAGAGCTGTATTGGTGTGTAAGACACCCATTTTGCTGGTTCTAGAACCATTAGTTCTTGGCCGGTGGCTATCCGATATTTATCGGCCCATATAAATAGCACACATACCATTCGCTATCAAATATTGTTTATTTGTTCATCTAGTTTGATTAAAAACAAATAAATTAATGCATTAGTTATCAATACGAATTTTTATTACATAATAAAATAATACTTATAAAACATTGATGACAACATGTATATCATTTTGGGTACAATACACCATTTATTCAACAACATGTATGATAACTGGATGTAAAGAAGATAAGCTAAAAGGGTAGGTGCCGTCGGAATTCAAAGCCACTGCCTTTCTGTGTTAATATCTTCTCTCGGCCGGCCAAGAATTGCTTGTACCACATAGCAGAAAGTTTGGGTGTTCTCTCTAATGTGTTGTAATCAACATAATAAATCCCAAATCTCAGTGTGTATCCATATAGCCACTCGAAGTTGTCAATAAGAGACCATATGAAGTAACCCCTCACATCGGCTCCATGCCTGCAGAAAATATATAAAGGCATATATATGATGTAAGATTCTAAATATCGATACAGGCCGATACGTCGGTAGATACCGGCAGTAAATATATGAATGTAAATATAAAGACATATATATGATGCAAGGTTTTAAATATTGATCGGTTTTTTTTTATATTTTATTTATTTATTTTTTCAAAGCTTGTTCAGAGGGATTGGTTTAAGTCCTGGTTACCCTCTGAACCATGGCTTGACCCAATATACTTCTTGTAGGGGCATATCGGGAAGGCCCCGATATGATGTGTATCAGTCGATACATAACGATATTTTGAATCTTGATATGATAATAATAAATACATAAAATAAAAGGACATAGAATACTTACTTCATTGCCAAATTTACGGAAGCCAAGTAACTTTTGAGGTATTCTACTCTCCCATTGTCATTAAGTATGTCTCTCTTAGAAGTATTGGGATTACTTGCTTGTGCATACCCTGCAAATGAAGTGTTGGAGCGGTTGATGAGATGATCTGACTTAATTGGTTACCAGTTTTAGTTCAAAGTATTTACTTAATAGATGTTTTGATGTATATAAATAAATGATCATTAGTTGGGATATATCATTACCATTTTCTGTGATGAACATTGGTATATTGTTATATCTTTCTTTGAAGTACATGATAATTTTCTCCATACCATATGGAACAACATATAATGATGGCATTGCTGTCTGGAGAAAGAAAAATAAATACATCAGTACGTAGTAGCCAGTCAGCCAGATTATAATATCACCCTTGAAATCATTTCAAGGTCAAAGGAGAAAAGAAAGAAGAATCTATATTAATCAATGTTTTAAAAATCAATTCGGAACCTTGGCCACCGATTTTTGTTAGTAGTTTGATTGTCTGGTTCGAACAAAAGAACTGTTTTAATTTAAAATAATAAAAAATAATTAAAATAAAAAGAACGGTAAAAAATCATTGTTTAAATCAAATGGGTAGCCGATTCGATTACAACAATTTTTAGCCAAGATACGGGTTATGGGTGAAAGGGAACCAGTTGCCTGGATAGTTTCTGAGCCTAACGGTCCAATGACCATCTGAGTTAATGACGGTTCGAAAACTATGTTATCTCTAGATGAATTCCAACTCTTGGATCCAAAATAAGCGTACCAAAAAATGCTGAAAATATATTTTCAGAAATTATTTCTTACCGGGTGTCCAATAGGGTGGCCATCTTTTTCTCCAGTAATGTAAACGGAAGCTTCCCCTAAAGAGGTACTAGATTCACATTGAGAAAACATGCAGTCTTTTACATAGAGTGTAGTATAATGGTTAACTCCAATGAAATCCAGCTTGTTCCCTAACTTCTTCTTATCCTCCAATGAAAATGTTGGTAATCTAGAACCCAAAATTTGGCGCATTTCAGGAGGATACTCACCATAAATTATAGGATCCAAGAACCTGTGATTCCATATAAGAAGAAAAAATCAATGAGCATGAAAAGCAAGCATTAGTTTTCAATATTTATATTGAAAACGATTTTGAATTAGTTACCAGGCGGTGTCAAAGGCTAGAGCTCGTTGAACTGCGAAATTATCTGTTGGGGTATCTCTAAGTGGCTCGTACCAGGAGGAGCACATCACTATCCCAATCTTTCCTCCTTGTTTAACCTGGTTTATAAAAATTACAATTCATTCATCACATAAGATTCCAAGAGAATTTCATAAATAGTAATAAGTATATTAAATGATTTCATGGTTCAACCATCTAGGCCAATGGGTCTTTCCCCAAGTCAACTGTTTTATCTCTGTAATATATATAATAGTTTATAGGGGTTTGGAATCGAAATCGGACTGGGCTATTCTGATTTCATTTATTTGGTTGAGGTAATCAGAATCCCATTTAAGGGAATGGTTATTCCCTGCCCCTCTCTTGGCAATGAAATCCATTCCTTCTGATTGAATTCCCATTTTCATTCCTGTTTAGCTGAACCAATCAGATTATGGTAATAGATCATTCCGACTCCCATTCCAATTCTGGCTGCAAACCAAACGGACTCTTAGATATTAACCCAAACTATAACTGTGACTGGGCTATTGGGTCACCAATTGGACCGGCTGGATCAAGTACATATGGATTAAAAGCATTGGTCATAAATGTTTCTATGATTGGGTAATGTTTGTTTTATTAATATACCTGATATTTTTTCCTGTAGATTTCAGCGGCAGTGGCATGGGATAATATTACATTGTGTGTAGCAATGAATGGCTCCAATGCAGAGTCCCCAGACCGACAATCACCAAAGGGATTGGAACAATGGGAAGGTGGGTATTTTCCAAATAAGTAACCATATGTCACCATGATGTTTGGCTCATTGAATGTGCTCCAATACTTCACTCTATCACCAAAAGCTTTGAAGCATACCTCCGCAAAATATCCAAAGTCTTGCCTGAACAATTTTTTTTACCCAAGTAGAAGCATCAATTTGTTGTGCAGGCAAAAAAGAGAATGACAATAAATCAAACAATTTTACCAGTCAGCATAAATGTTTTAAGGTCCGTTTGTCTTTTGGTTTATTTAATCATGTTCTTTTTATTTCTCGTGTAAATAAGATAATGACTGTTTTAGTCATAAAGTCCGTTATTAAAATAAACATTTTTGTCTTATATCCAAGTGTTGGCAACTTTCCCCCGGAAAAGTTATTTACCCAGCCACTTGGGTGATGGGTACATCTTATCCCGGCAAGTGATACTGAGAAAAATAAATTTTCCCTGGTCCCCACATAAATCTGAAAAAAGACATGGGAGTTTTGGTTGATGGAAACCAAAATCCATTGACCAACTTTCCTCCCTCCCAAAATCCAAAAAACAAATGCCCCCTAAGTGAAATGTTGCATATTATTGCTAGTTTCTTCTTGAATTCAGCGTTTATAACAACAGCACAACAAAGCCCACAAAATAGAAGAAAAGTATAAAATTAATGGAAGAGAGAAATTTACTGTATTTGTGCATTCAGCCATGCTCCATATCGGTCTTCAAGTTCTTGAGGGATGTCATAGTGATTTAATGTAACAAATGGTTGTATCCCTGGTTCAATAACAAGATAGTAACTATTCTAATCAGTATTATGCATGAATAGAGATGATATACCTGACCAAGAAAACCGTATTATGAATGTTTGTTTGCGTAGGAGAGGGATTTCAATAGAAAAAAAAAAAAAAAACAGAAGGAATTACCCTTGAGCAAGAGAGCATTTATAAGTTTGTCATAAAATTCAATTCCTTCAGAATTAACCTCCCCAAATCTGCCTCCTGGTGTTAACACAGATTTAACTGTCAGTTCCATGTTGCTATGATCTCTACTGATAATTAACGAAGAGAAGAATTCAACTGGAACTTACTTGGCAGGACTCTTGACCATGAAATAGAGAATCTGTAGGAATTCACTCCAAGTTGATGCATTAATTCTATATCTTGCTGTTTGATATGAAAACATATAAGGAGATTAAATGAGAAGTCCTCTTATTTTATGGAAAAGAAAGAAAATAGTTTCCATTGCTAACACAAGTGCTACTAATAAACTGATGTAAGAGATTAATGCAATCTAACACTCAATTGTTTTATTTTTACCATGTAACGATGGTAATGATCATCTGCCACATCTCCATTACTTCCATCCTTTATTTTTCCTGAATATAAGAAATGAAAATGAGATGATTTTGAACCAGTTTCATTTTTTTTTAATTTCCATCTCTATAATTATGACTACCCAATGAAGAATATATAATGGAAAAATGAAAAAAACTATAAGGAATTTCACCTGGTATGTGAGTGAACACATCCCAATTGCTGAGGCTTTTGTTTCCTTCTAGGTAGGCACCTTCAATCTGGGAAACAAAAAGCATAAAAAGGGCGTGAAAATCTTTTCCTTGTGTAAAAAGTAAAGAATAGAAAGAAAAAGAAAAAGTATCTCGGGATACAAAAGTCTTCATCTTGGAAAGATTTAGTTGAGTCATGTTTGGTTTGAAAGAAAAAGTAGGAAAAGAAAGGGAAAGGTTGAATTAACATGAAAAAGGTCAAGTATTTCGGCCTTGATTTAGGGAGACAATGGGTCTGGTTGAGTACGGAGATTCCTACATTCTTAGCCCGAATAAGCCAACCCACATCCAAACATGGCTAAATCTAGCCAAACTGAAGAAATAAACACCCAGTGGCTGGATCTGGCAGAGAATGCCATGAATCATTAATTCCTGGAGACAGCTTTCCTGAAAATGCTTGAGAATAATGGTGGGCTAGTTTGGCTCTAGAAAGCCTTAGAGCCAAGAGAATGGCATTACCTGATAAGAAGATGTAGCAGTTCCAAAAAGGAACGATTGAGGAAACTGGCTACGATCCAAAACACAGCTGATGAATCTTAACAGATGAAGAAACAAAACAAATGCCAAGACTGTCTTCATGTTTAATGTTTTCTGGTAACAGATAGGTGTGAGGTTGTAGTCTATCGTCTCTGTTCGATGCTTTCCCTGATAAGTTTCTGGGGTTTATATAGAAGAAAGGATTTGGAAAATTTCAGCTTCCGTGCGTATTGGTATATACAAGTTACAGAGAAACTTCATCACACGCAACAGAACTCAAACAATCTCCATGCATGCACGTCTGTTAACTTCTCAATCCGTTCCTCTGACCATTCAAAACAACGTTTTCCATACATATCTTGAATTTGTGTGATCAGTTTCAAAACCCCAGAAAAATCCACACACGTTTTCTCAAAAATCATCTCACCTGTTGCAATAAACAACTAGAATCTTATTATGATCAAACCATAGCATTGAATCTACAGCTTCTGTTATGATCTGACTATTACTGTTTATCTGTTTAGTCTATCTATATACTAAAACACAGCAGTCCAGAAATTTTTTCCTTTTTTTTCATTTTTATTTTTTATTTTCATGTTATTTTTTAAACAATCAATGAGATGCTTTCCTTTCCCACCTAAAATTTCTCCTAAACTACCTCCCCCACTATCCCTCATTTTCTCTAAATTATCTCTAACCCCTATTTATCTCTTAAATTATCTCTAATTTAGTAGAGAAGTTTATCTCTAATTCCTATTTACCATTTCCCCTACTTTTTATCTATATCCATCTAAAGAAAGATCAAATTAAAAAATTTAAAAATTATCTAAAAATTCTAGTAGAATTATATAATAACATTAAAATGTTTATTAAAAACACAAAATAATAATTATAGTAGATTTAATAATATTCATATTATTAATAATTTTATGTTTTTACATAATTCATCACAAAATTATGTACTAACAATTTATGATTTTCCAGACTATTCAATTTAAATAACAAAATATTAAAATTAGATAAATAATTATATAACAAAATATTTAGTATTATTTAATAACTTTAACAAAAATAAAAAAAATAATATTTTTGTATTATTTAAATATTTGAAAAAGTAAATATTTTGAATAACAAAATATTTAACATAACTAGATTTTAAATAGTTAAAATAACGAAATTATGTAATGAATTTAAAAATTTCTTAACAAAAGAAATAATTATAACATAATATACAAATTAATAATGATATTATAATTTACAAAATTAACAACAAAATTACATAATAATAGTATAAGTTATAATTTTATGGATTACTAAATTCAATAAATAATTAATATTTTAAAATTTAAGTAATGATATTATTTAAATAACTAAAATTACTATAAATAACTATTTTCACTTATATCAATTCATAATTCTAGAAAATAACTTTCAAAAAAATTAATATTTATTAATAATAATTTTAAAATCTTAATCTTTATTTATTATATATTTATCTATACTAAAATTAATATTTATAATTTTTTGTGATAAATATATTTGCAATATTTAGGTATAAATTTATTTTTGTTTTGTTATTTAATATAAAATTTTCAATAACTATTGTAGATTAAACTAATGTTATTTGACTTTTTTAAATTTAATTTGTTGTACTTATTGTATTTTTGTTATAATTTATTGATTAATATTTATTAGAGATTAAACTATTATTTGAGATTAAAATATTTATTAGGGGTGCAAGTTAGGTAGGTTGTGTCGGGTTTATGGTCAACTTGGGCTTGACCCTAAAATTTGGGCTTAAGGCTTGAGCCCGAATTGAGCCCGAGGTCAAGCCCGATCTTCCCAACCCGAGCCCAGCCCACACTATAATTTGATGCAATCGGGTTGGGCTCGGGCCCAGGTTGGTCAATGAACCCACTCTAAAATTATCCATACATACATACATATATGTAAATATATATATNNNNATATATATATATATATATATATATATATATATATATGTATATGTATGTAAATATGTATGCAAAATTTACATATATATACATATGTATATATGAATTTGCATAGTTGGGTCGGGCTCAGGCCGGGTTTGGATTACCTAAGGGCTAGGCCTGGGCCCGACCCGAATAATAAAAAAAAGACCAACTTGTTGGGCCCAGCCCGTGTAAAGTTTCGGGTTGGGTCCGCCCAAGTTGCACCCCTACTATTTATTGACTAATTTAATATATTTTTTAGTATTTATTGTATTTTTGTAATTATTGTTTTTATTGTATTTTTATTGGTTATTTATTGTATTTTCATTATCAATATATTTTCAATAATTGTGTATTTTTGCTATAAATTTTCAATAGCTATTTAAAATTAAATAATTGTTATTTATTAGAGATTAGATTATTAATTTAGCTGAAATTAGGAGTGCTCACGAGTTGTTTCGGCTTGGTTGTAGGATGTTTGGCCAACCAAATTGACCTAGTCACGTTGGGGAGTTGGTCACTTGAAACCAACTAACCATTAGTGAAAACTAACCAAATTGGGTTGTATCAGTTTGGGTTAATTTTCGGTTTAATTGGTCGATCATTAAAAAGATTTAAACTTAAAACTTAAATTTTAATTAAAAAATATAGTGCCATTATTAAAAATAAATGTAAAAAATAAATTTATGATATAAAATATTTTACACTAACAAATATGAAAAATTTACCATTTTCCTGTATTAAAAAATTATATTAAAAATATACAAACACTAATATATATATATCTATGGTTAGGTCATTGGATTTTGGTCGATTTACAAATGGCCAAAGTGAAACTGATCCAACCTGATCGAGTTAGGAAATTGTTGAACCAAAGCCGAATGAAAATAGTGGAAAACTGACCAACTCAAATTGAACCAGGTTAATCGGTTTCATTAGTTTTATGAACAACCATATCTAAAATTAATTATTATTGTTTTTATATTATAAAATGATTAAAAATAGTATATAAAACATAAATAATTAATAATTATTTATAATTTTAAAAATAAAAAAACAATTATATATTTACATCGCACGGGTCCCCGGTAATTATGTCTGTTAATTTAATCAGTCAAAGGTGGATTGGAGATCAATATACTACAACCAATGATCCGACCTGCAAATTTCCAATTTGTAGAATTAATCGATCGAACCACTGAATGATCGTTTTGACGTGGAAAAGCGGTAACTAAGGACAGATATTAGTTGTCGTAACAATTTCAAGCTTCAAGCAGACCTTGGTCAATTGCATCACATGTTGTTAAAATCTATTACACGTACTAAGTTGGTCATAGATTGGATAAGGATATTGACTGGTCAGAGGATTATGGCAGTTTGAACGACAGTTAAATGGTATTTGAACGGCAGTTAGTCTCTCAGTTGCGAGCTCTAGCTCCTTGTACATAATAGCTGTAGAGAAGAGGTAGTTCTGATTTCTGAAGATTAGAATGAATGGAAGTACATGCAGTTACGTTACACTCTAAGGCAACGAATTAAAATTCTCTTCTATTATTTTATTATTTCAGTCAAAGGATAGGTTTGGTTGACCTGCTGATGTGTCAGAGTTTATTTGGTCCGTATTAATCCAAGTTTGATATGGATGAATATGACGTGTAAGCTTTAAATCCCAAATTTACCCTTCATTTGACGTGGCAAGTAGTACTTTTTCAACCCAATACCAATACACCAGCTAGCATATCGTTCAGGAATTTCTTTTAACAGGTTGCAGAAGTGAAGACGTGGCGAATACAGAGTAGTAGTACCCTACCCTATCCTCTATATATGGGTCGTTCCTAGGCTCCTAGCTAGGATCTCTAAATGGATAAATTGATAAATCAGCTTGTTTTGGCTACGTGGAGATGACGTAGCAAAATAAGAACTAAGCCATATGACCATATCAGATTGTAGCTACAGTGGCGTCCAGATACAATGAACCGTTCGTTCAAACCGAATGGTTGGACCGTTCAACTTGAGAACTGGTCCCTAGAATAATTCCGTGTCCGATTCAGTTTTTAAAACTTTATTTTTAAGATCAAGGGTGCTTAGGTGGGTAAGAGAATGGAAAGTGCATTTTTTGTTGTATCCTACATTCCTACTCGTTGGTTAAAGAGTAGGGGTGTTCACATTAAATGTCAAATCAATCAAACCGATTAAATCGGCTCGATCCAATCTGAATTAGTCGGTTTTGGTTTGTATGAGAAAATAAACTGACAATTCAGTCCGGTTTCATTTTTCATGTGTCAAATTGAATCGAGCCGATCCTATATGTTTAAATAATTATTAATTAGTCCCTACCCTATATTTTAAATGTTGATATATTTTATTGTGTTTTGTTTGAACTTTGAAAAAAATGATTATTTATGATAAAAACTAAAAACGTAAAACCAATACAAATATAATAAATGGTACAATATTTAATTCAGTTTTGTACAAATTTAAATATATATTGACAAAAAAAAATCAATTTTACATAAAAAACTAAAAAAAAATTAACTTAAATATAAATAGATATATAGAAATAGATATTTTTGTTTAAAATATATATAAAAACCGATTAAACCGATAAACTAACCAAAACCAGCCCTTCATGTTTGAGTCCGTTTTGCTTTAGGGTCAATCGCTTTTGATTTAATCAATAAATAAACCAACTAGATCAGATTAATTAAAGAAAATGACTCAAACCAACTCAACCCAACCCATGTCAACCCAACCCGTGAACACCCCTATTAAACAGCATATACACCGGTATGTCTATGTTATATTCCGAATAGGGATGTTAGTGGGTCAGGCGGTAAGCCTGCACTGATCTGCCGCTATCGGATTAGGGTCGGTTCGAACTTGATTGGATTTTGGGCAAGTTTTGAGTTCAGATGGACCCGTTGTAAACCCAACCCACTGACATTGTACTTTTGAAATGTTACATTATTTGGGTCGGGTTTGGGTTTAATCAAAACCCATGCAGAACCAAATCCGTTGACCTCCCTCATTGTGAAGCTATTTCAATTGCTGCTGTGTTCCTGTTTCATTGGGTAGGTTGAGTCATGTGATCAATCCAGTCAGAACCTCGGGTTTGGGCCAGGAAACAACCTGAGGTTAAAACCAACATTTGCCAATTCGAGCGCTTA